CCCATTCATGCCTTTCACCAGCTGGTACATCAAGGCATTTTACCCTTCATCCAGACATAGATGTTGGATTGCTTCTGCAGAAATCAATGAGGCATTACTCAGAGGTGCTACCTGCACCCTTCCTGGTGGGCTGCTGTCAACAGACCTGGGCATGTATTTAAAAAAGGAAAACAGTAGACCTTAAAATCAGAAAGGAAGAAAAGCAGCCCACAGGCTGAAAACAGCCTGGAAACATTGATGGTGGTTGTGATGCCAAAGGAAAGGGTGAGACAATGGAGATCACACTGGGCAAGCCTTAGGCCAACTGCTGGCTTTCCCAGGGATAGATCAAGACCATGGCCCCCTCCCATCACAACAGTTCACAAACGGTAATACTTCTAGCGCAAAGCCTTCAGTCTTTGTGGATGAAACAGGCTAGGCAAGATTCCAAGACTATCACTCAATGTATCCTCCCAGGCCAATAGTTCCCTATCCACAGCTTTTAAGGAATGGTGAAAAAAATAAAAAAGAGGAGGGAGAAAAAGCAAGACCAAGAAATCACAAAGCAGCACTCCTGAGTGAATCAAATCCTCCTGACAGCTCAACTCATACCTGCAAGGAGTCTCTCTTCTTATCAACCAGCACTCAGAGGAGCAATTCAGAGCAGCTGAACTATGCCAGCTGCTGAGAGGCAGCCCTGATAAGAATTTTAAGGCACACTGTTGGAACACTCCCCAGCAAAATGGCCTTTTTTGCTCTATGGGGTTCACCTATCCAAAAGAGGTTTCCCTTAACCAAGGACAAAATGATTAAGCTAAAATCTCAGAGGCAGAGGAGCCAAAGTGAGTTGACCTGTTGCATGTGGTCCTTGGGAAACATTCTGTTTTTCTAGTCCCCTGTCTTTATGCATTTTCCCTATAGAGGTTGTCTGCTTTAAAAATGAGTTTTCGTGAATTCTCCAGTTGTAGCAAAAACACTCGGTGTTCATGATATTTTAGTAGATAAATAAGAATGTGTAATGATATGTACAACCAAGACAGTTATACCTTCAGCATATCCTGAATAATGCCCTGTATGTACTACTAAGTTATATATTCTACTGTGGGCTGGTTTACTCCAGAAGTTTTATTTCTCTTACGATGTGTCCTATCCCAGAGCAGAAACAAAGGAAAAAGAGACAGATAGGTCTGGCAGAAATATGGTTTCACATAGCATCTGAGAAAGTTGACAATCAGTTGGTGCATGAGAGAGAAAAACTTGCAGCTAATGCATGTGCAAACATTTAATTTCTTCTGATCTCTGTGGGGTAGAGCTAGGAGTTGCTCCCTTTGGTTTGTAACCTACCCAAAACCCTTTTCATGAGTTAGATCTTCCTAGAGACTTTTTGCCCATTTCAGTGTTCTGTGTTGACACATAAGATGAATTTATGTAGGATTTTTTACTTATTTTTAATTTTCATTAAATAAGAGACTTTTGGATTTGGCCATTTTTTTTTTTTCATTTATTATGTGATGACGCCATCTTGTGGAAGTTGCTAAGAGCAAAAGTTGGAAAAATCACCTAGATTATATTTGCAAGTCCTGTCAACTCAGCAGGAGCAAGTTTGCAGGGTGGAAGAGCATGGAGGATCTGCCATCCACGTGGTTTATTTCAGGTAGAATACCGTAGTTTGGTTCTGTGATTTCCTTTAGGTATCTTGGACTGTAACTTTCTGGAGTAACTATCTTATTTCCATTTCAACTGAAAGGAATCCAATTTAAGTGCTTCACAATCATCCACAGTGAAGTAACTAGGCACATCGACTTTAAAAGCACCTCAATTCCTCTCCTTATTTACTCACCTGAATTCACATGACAAAGTAGTCACACCCTTCAAGCCTTGATAACAAGGTGAGATGTGCAGGTGATAGGAAGCCCTGGAAAGGATGCTCTTCTGTCTCCTAGTGTAGAGGATTAGTGCTGTTAGGCAGTTGTGCTACCCTCTTGCCTTGACTGAGAAGGTGCTTCTGGAACCAGGTAAAAAGAGCCCATATTGAAGCTCTTCTCCAGTTCTTGGCCCATTAGAAAAGTAGAACATTGCCTAGTTTTCTGGACTGATACCAACACAGTCTCCAAGAGCTCATTCACAGAAAAACCTGCATCTGCTCCTAAGAATTAAAGCTGGGGAACCATCAATGCTTTGGGGATCACAAAGCGAAGGAGGAGGATGATATTTCTGGAGCAAGGTGCAAGAAACTGGTGAGAGCTGTCTGTACGATTCAGTTATTCATTAAGTTTGAACTTGTCTTGGTTTTGACTTAGATCACTCGCTTGATTAAGAGTTGCTGTCTTCACCAAATACTGTTTTCATAATGCTAAATGAGCTGGTACTGTTGTTTTCAAATCCCCTCTACTAGTTGAAAGAAAGCTTTTTAAAACAAAAAGGCTGTAACAGAGCAGTAGAGCTTTAAACTGGCTCAATTATATTATGTGGTGCACTGAATCTATTTATCACACTGAGACTCAGCAAGCCAAAACCCTGTGATCACCTAGAAAACACTTTCCTATCCCTCCAATAACATTTATCTGTAGCAGGGTGACATAATGGTCTGATTTTGTTGAACTACCTGTGTTAATGAGAACTTGAACCTTGAAGCAGACGTTACTTTATTGAATTGCACATAACCTATTTGCTTGTTTGTCTAAACATAGATACTTAACAGTATTTTAGCTTCTCAAAATTCACTGCTTTCAGCTGCAACTTTCCTTCTATGTTGTTTTCTATAATGAATTTCACTTCTGGGATGTCACTTAAGTAATTTTCATGGGTGTTTGCTTCTTGCTACTGATGTTTTAAGGTAACCAAAAAAACCCTTTTTTCTGCAAGCAGTGCACCATTTGACGTGTTAGTTTGTCAGTGCAGCAGCCTTTCCATGCTTCTAACCCTAAATAACCCAGTATTGACAGAGCCAGTTTCTAATGAACAACTAAACAGATACATAGAGGCAAAAATGTATGTGCAATCTGACACGCCAAGCTAAATAACCCCCTTCACCAGTCTACTTGCATTATAAAGCAATGTTAATTTTTGTCTATTTCACACGGTGTATGGAGTCATTATTTAACTACTTGGCGATCTTTACTTGCAGAGTTTCTGGTGATTGTTTGCAAAGGGTGTTGTGGCATCTTATGAACTAACATTATCTTCATTGATGTAGAGTTGTAGGAGTAGTTATCCCTCAGACTTTGGGAGCAGGGTGTGGTGTTTGCCCAGAAAATGCAATGAGGGGAAAAGAAAACAGAGGAAAATGTTTGTTCTTGCTTTGAAAATGTGAAATTCTGGTTTAAACAGAACATGGGAACATAATAGGAAGGCTATTCGGGAAGGACTGATACAGGCCACCTACAGCAGCCAAAGAGATGTCTGTGGCAACAAGAATTGCCTTTATTCCCTCGGTATCATTGGAGACAACAATACACAGACTGCTGTGCTCTTTGATTAGATTAGGGCTGCATCTAGACGGGGTTTAGCAGCAAATTAAAAAGTAACAGGGAGCACTAGAAATCAGTTCCCTGCAATACTATGTTTTAGAGCTGGCCCAAGAAACCTGTGTTCTAAACAATGGCTGCTTGTAGGTCAGGGCTGGCATTTCCTGTGGCTGTTCTCCACCAGGAGCTTGCATGTGGCCATTCTGTTTTGAAGAGTGCTTATCACTTATGATGAATGAGAGCAAAAGTGGTACAGAAAGCACTTAAGACCTTCCTTTAGGTGCTTTAAAATTCTTCATTGCCCCACTTGTGAAATTAATATTAACAAGCAATTAGGGACACCAGCAGAAGTGAGAATGGTAAAAACAATAACAAATGCCTAGATGTGTGGTTTAAACCCAGCCAGTAACTAAGCACCACACAGCCACTCGCTGATCACCATCACCGCCTCCCTGCCCCTTATGCATAGATATGGGTAAAGATTTGAGGTAATCTATGATTTGATGGGATTTACTTTCAAGTACTGGTTGCAGGTTCTATCTCTCTGCTCATTTGTCCCTAGCAGGAAAAAGAAGAGGTTTAAGGGAATATTTGATGAGTTAGTGTAACTTTGTAGGAGAAATAAATCTGTTACACTTTATAAAAGTCTAGAGGGTATAACAAGAAGGTGGGAGATCAATTTATCATGTTTTACTAGTATCAAACTGTCTAATTTTTGTACGTTGGCTCAAGGAAAGAGCAGAAGGTCCTTCCTTTGAATTTTGATGGGGTTATGATAGTGTCCTAAATGATGTCCTCATAAGGAAGCTCACGATAGTAGTTTGCAATGCACAGTGAAGCTGACTTACACTCTTCCTGAAGAATGAGCTGCAAGAGGATGAAGCAGGATGGAGACACTCAGGTGGGAAGTGGCTATACCCAAATAGACCTTCACGTATTTGATCCTATCCTGCTGCACTCATGAGGTCTGAGCCAGTGGCTTCCTAGTGTTTGGGCTCAAAAAAAAAGGAGGGTTTTGAGTGCTGAAAGCCTTGCCTAAATCAAGCTAAAAGTCTTGACACCTGCAAAATGAGTTAGGGACCTTAACCAGATGTGGCTGCGACTGCAGACCTCTCAAGACTTCTTATTGCAGCACATGGGACAGGACCAGAGGGGGTCGTGTATAGGCTGTATGGTTGTGCAACAGGGTGGGACCATGGCTGCAACATGCATTTGGGTTTGAATGTGGTACTATGGCTGAATGTAGTCTCACAGTGTGCCACAGCTGTGGCACAGCCCTGCAGTAACTCTTCTTCTCTGGGATGCTGCCAGCTAGGATCAGTATGTTACAGGATGAAGCCACAGTGGCCCATCTGTGGTTCCTTCACAGACCCCACCTGCCTCTCCCTGCTTCAAAGCCCCCTCAGTGTGTACTCCTGTAATGCCAGAGACCAAAAAGTCTCAGCCTATGACCTCCATGGCCACCTGGCCTGTATTCCTCCAGGAACAAGTCCTACTTGGGGTGGCGCTGTGATTGGTGCTGTGGTTGGTGTAAGGCAGAGAATTACAACTTACTGACTGCCAGGACAAAGATGGCAAAGATACCAACCACCTGCCAGAGCCGCAGCCCCCAGATCACCACCGTCTCCGAAGTGACAGGGTCCGGTTTCTTTTTTGGGGGTTCAGTGGTCGCCTGGGAAAGAGGGAGGAAAAAAAGTGGTTTAGGGTTTGTAAGGGTCCCTAAAACAGTCAGAAAGATGTGAATAGCACAGAAGGTGGTAGACCCCAGTTTGCTGCCCCACAGCATTTTGGAGACTTCAATAAAGAATTTGTATCTAAAGCTTTTGCCATTTTAAAATTTATCTTAAGTGTTGTAAATTTTCAGGATTACAAAGCAAATATTTTTGCTGTTCTTTCTTCAAGTACCAGCTTTTTTTCTAAAGAATCTTTTTCCTGGGGTCAGGAGGAAATTTCTTATATTTTGCATTCCCACCTTTAAAAGATAGATTTTTTTTTTTTTTTTTTTTTTTTTTTTATTGCAGGTTCCTTTTGCACTTTCAGGCATATATATGTATATCATGATCTGGAAAAGAGTAGTAGAGGACTAAATTTTCCTTAAAAATATCTTCATTTTTACAATTAAATGGAATTTTTCCAGATGTAAATGTACTTTTTTTTTCTTTAAATTTATACTTGTTCTGAATAAACCAGTTTTTTAGTGGTGTTCTCCATTAAATATGTTTTAAAATTAATTAGTAATGAACTAAAATGAAATAAAGAACTGAGAGTTATGGTATTTTTCTTCATTTATAAGCAGAACCTTTTTTGTTTTAGGAAATCTTGCTTCTATATTTTGAATCACAAATCACAACTTTTGACCAAAGAATCCTGCTCTTAAATTGCCTTGTAGATGTTGCATCAACCTTGGTTGTCATTCAGGAAAACATGTCTTAATCAGTTATTTGGACAAACGCGGAGGTCTTTGAACTAAATTCTGTGTCTTGTACTGTATCAAAGGTCAGAAAAGATGTGATAATGTCCTGCTTAGTGCATTCCTTCAAAATGAGTGGGAATTTGACTAAATAGGTGAGTGTCTCTGATGCAACAAGAAAAGCACTCTGATTTCCAGCTCTTGAAAATGCTCTAGAACTGAAGAGCAAGAGGGCAATGAGAAAACAGGTGAAAAGAAATTATGATGATAGTAAGAGCCTTATTTTGTGAAGATGGTGATGTCAGCTTTCCCCATGTGATTTAGTGGTGGTTTGGCTAGTATTTGCAGGTGAGGTTTTCAATAAATGCCAGGTTGAACGGGGCTTGGAGCAACCTGGTCTAGTGGAAGGTGTCCCTGTCCATGGCAGGGGGTTGGAACTGGATGAGCTTTAAGGTCCCTTCAACCCAAAACATTCTAGGATTTTATGAATTGCAGCCTCAGCTCCCCTAACTATTGAGTAGATCTTCAACATCTATGGGTGAGTCTAGATCAAATAGTCCTACAGATACCTGCCTTTGGCAGACGAAACTTCTCTGGAGTGACCAGATAGAAATCCAATGGCCTCCATGGTAGGTAAAAATTAGGCAAACAAGGTATTTAAGTCTTACTGCTAATCCAGTCCCTAGTTCTTGTGTGTTTCTGTTCCCCCTATCTGAAATGGGGTTGAGAATGTTTCAAAAGTGTGTTAAACATTACTAGAGAAATAGGTTGTCTAGACCAACTTCTTTGGCCCCGGTGCAGTGATGATATAGGAAGAACACACGTACCAGCAGCAGCATTTATTCTCTTGATTTATGGCTTAGAAAATCAGAAGTTAACAACCCCTCCCTGCCAATAAACTTCACATGATGATGTGTTGTGGTGCAGCAAATCACAGAATTAAAACCTACTAGCGATCTTACAGGAGGGTTGTTAGCAAAATACCTTTATTGCCTTATATCTGAACATAGGACCTGATCTGAACTGGCAATTGCCTTTCGATAGAAGCTGAAAACACTCAGTTTCTTAAAAAAAAAATCTCCTCAACAGGCTCATCTGATTCCCTGCAGTGCCCTTCCGTTCTCAGCCCATGGAAGTGCTGTTAAAACACAGCTGTAATGGATACCACAGAGTGAATTAGAGCTGGAGCTGCTCTCCAATTACTTGCCTATTTGTGCAATACAAACCGTATTTTAGTCTTTTCTTAACGAATGATGCTACCTGCCATGTCTGGAGTGTTCTGTCTCCCAGGGGCATCCTATTCAAAATCCATCTGTGGTGGTTAGGACTGCAGTCAGAGCCTGTCTCTTCCAAGCTGTCTTGGCTATACAGCCACACCTCATTCATGGCCATGGGGAATCTAGTGCTCAAAGCCCAGAATTGCTAAGGTGAATTCAGGAAGAAGGAAAGGCGAGCCAGAGTGGTGTTGTCTTTTGTACAGGCATTTGGTACAATCAAAGAGGAAGGAATCTGTGATACTTGACACTGAAACGTTTCCCTTTTCAAATGCAGGACTTCTTTTTACTCAGCAACAAAGAAACTGCAGTAGACACCAGTCCTGGGGAGTGATCAGAGCACTGGTTCAGGTTCAGAAAATTTTGTCTCATTAGAAGAGCAGAGATCTTAGTTCCTTTTTTTGGATTCAGCTTTCCTCCCTTCCTACTGATCCCAGACTTAACCTCTATGGCAGCCTCAATCTGCTTCACAGGAGACATTTCAATTGCAGTAGCTGGCCATGGCATGATTTTGCCATTTTGTGATGCTCAGCTCTCCAAAGCGTGGACCTTTTCTTCCAGACTTTTGCTGACTTTCTACTCTGCTCTCGTGAGACCTTGGAGTATTGTGTACAGTTCTGGTGTCAATGTAAAAAGGACATGAATCTGTTGGAACAAGTCCAGAGGAGGGCCACGAGAATGATCAGGGGACTGGAGCACCTCCCATATCAAGACAGGCTGAGAAAGCTGGGGCTGTTCAGCCTGGAGAAGAGAAGGCTGCGTGGAGACCTCATAGCAGCCTTCCAGTATCTGAAGGGAGCCTATAGGGATGATGGGGAGGGATTCTTCATTAGGGACTGTAGTGACAGGACAAGGGGTAATGGGTTAAAACTTTAACAGGGGAAGCTTAGATAGGATATAAGGAAGAAGTTCTTCCCTGTTAGGGTGGTGAGGCACTGGAATAGGTTGCCCAGGGAGGTTGTGAATGCTCCATCCCTGGCAGTGTTCCAAGGCCAGATTGGACAGAGCCTTGGGTGACATGTTTTAGTGTGAGGTGTCCCTGCCCATTGCAGGGGGGTTGGAATTAGATGATCTTAAGCTCCTTTCCAACCCTAACTATTCTATGATTCTATGATGGACAACTGGGAAAGGGAGACAGATATTAAGAGGAAGACGGGGGTGGGGGGTGGGGGGGTGGGCGGGGAAGATATTTTGGGCCTTCTGATGGAACTCTAGATAAGTCTTGAGAGCATATTAGGAAGGGGAAAAGACAAACGGTGATATGGTTGGTGTTATACTGCCAGGGTTATCCTAGATGGAAGCAGAGGTGAAGGGGTATTTGTGTAGATAGAAGAATCATCAGAGAATCACAGAACAGTTTAGGTTGGAAGGGACCTTAAAGCTCATCCAGTTCCAACCCCCTGCCACAGGCAGTGACACCTTCCATCAGACCAGGTTGCTCCAAGCCCCATCCAGATTGGCCTTGAACACTGCCAGGGATGGGGCAGCCACAGCTTCTCTGGGCAACCTGTGCCAAGACCTCACCACCCTCATAGGGAAGAACTTCTTCCTCAGATCCCATCTAAACCCTCTCTACGTCAGCTTAAAGCTGAGGCAGATAAGAGTGGAGGAAGGGCAGCAGCTTGAGCCCCCGGCTCTGGATGGGCTGCCCGCACACGCCGCAACTGTCCCAGCAGGTTGAGCGAAGCCACCCATCCGCCGTGCCCGGCCGCCTTCCGGCCTCGTTCTCCCCGCTCAGCGCCGCCGCTCCGGTGCGATCCGCCGAGCAAGGTCCCCCTACCGCGCCCGCTACCGACGCTGCCGCCTCTTCCATTGCCCTACACCGGCCGCCGACGGCGCGCCAAGGGAGGCGGGGCGGCGCCGCTGCTCCCACCGCTTCCACCTCTCGCTCGGTCCCTCCCTGCTGCCTGCGCCGCCGCCGCTCCGCGGTGTTCGTGTGCCTGCCCTGCCCGCGGCCGTCATTCGCCACGCTGCGCTGCCGCCTGCCTCCCTCGAGCTGGACGCCAGACTGCAGAGCGGGTCTTACCAAGGGAAGTAGAGGGTGAGAATGCTAGGGCTGACATGCAGGAACATCACTCTAGTGTTATGGCCAACCTACCACAGCTTAGCAAGTTTTCACGTATATCTGTGGCAACTGTGTGTGTTTGCTCGTGGGGTTTCAGTAGGAGGTGCTAAGTTTGCATTTCTACCCATGCTGAGACCAGATGAGGTGTCCAAACTCTTTAAGTGGGTTGAAAGATGCAACACTGGGCCACAGCTGGTTCTCTTAGCTTTTGAAGATGACATGAAAGTAATTCTTAGTAGCTTCAAGAAATTGGAAATGTTGATTTGTGCTTGACAATAAATGTCAAGATAACAGGATGATTGAATCGGGGACAAAAGGAAAAGATGTACAGAGGCAAAATGTAGCAGAGATGAAACTGAGACAAGGTGACTCTTATGCAGTCCTGAGTAGAAAAAAACAAAACAAAACAAAACCTACTTCCATCAAAGGTGAACTTGTGCCCTTGGCCACCGGCATGGTCCAGGAGTGGAAGATGGCCAGACGGAGGAAGAGGTTACATTTGGTGTAAAGACTAGCAGCATTGCTTTATCTGTGCAAAGCAGTCACACTAAACAGAAGACTCCAGAAAACTGGAGGCAGTGAAAAAGACTTCTGCAAAAGATACCAGACTTCAGAGGAGTCATCTTTAGATAAAGGAAGTTGTTGAGAAAAATGAAAAGGCAAAGGAAGAAAACAGAAAAATGAAGACAAGCAGCAGCAACTGAATCAGCAAATGAAGCAAGCAGCAACAGTCAAGTAATAATTCAACAGGGAAAGGCCATTGAAGGCAAGCAGTAGAGAATGTATCGGAGAAAATAATGCAAACACACCTGAGGTTAGCCTCATTATAATGCTGCCACAACATAGTTGTCTGGGAAATCCTTACAGGAGCATGAAAATGTTGGGGCTTCAGGATGAAATAGAACTGAGTAGAAAGGAATAAC